GTTCAAGGTGGGAATGTGGAGTTCCAAGGGCCTCTTACTTACCCCTTCCCTGGGTTTAGGGCCTGGGACTGCTCAAGGCTCTCAGAAACCCCAAGTAGACAGTGTAGCTTCATCGTGTACCCTCAGTGGCTCCTGCCACCTTTGTTTTATAGCCAAGTGTTTTTTCTGACAATATACATGTTTGAAATGTGGGCATTATCCTGATTCTTCTCTGAACAAGAGGCGCATGCCAGCTGCCTCTGGTCAGTCATCTTGCCCCTGTTGTCTCTCCTTTAATTTTCTCTACATAATATCTAAGATTCATCCATATAGGTGTAGTTTTTTTAAACTTATACAGAACAATAATTTACTGTGCAACTATACTACAATTTGTTCATTCTGTTGTTGATGAACTTTTGAGTTGTTTAGAGTTTGGGGCTACTATGAAAAATTCTATATGGGACATTTGTGAACATGTGTGTATGCTGCTGAACATGAATACATGTAATTGAGAATATCCACCTAGGTGTAGAATTGCTGGATATAGAAGAACCTTTCAAAAAATATCTTCAAGGCCAGGCGTGGTGGCTCATGGCTATAATCCTAGCATTCTGGGAGGCCAAAGCAGGTAGATTGCCTGAGCTCAGGAGTTTGAGACTACCCTGAATAAAGCAAGACTCCGTATATACAAAAAGAAAAACTAGCTGGGCATTGTGGCAGGCACCTATAGTCCTAGCTATTCAGGAAGCTGAAGCAATAGGATTGCTTGAGTCCAGGAGTTTGAGGTTGCTGTGAGCTATGATGCCACGGCATTCAACCCCAGGGCATCTAAGTGAGATCCTATCTAAAAAAAAAAATTTATATATATATATATACACACACACACACACTGTTAAGTGTATATAAAAGTAAAGAAATAGTATAGTGATTCACTGGCTTCAATCAATAATTATAAATATTTTACCAATCTTTTTCTTTATGAGATAGAGTAAAAAATTACTCCTTCCAAATAAGTAAGTCTGGTTGTACTTTCAAAAATCAATGAATGTGGCAGCACCCTTAGCTCAGTGGGTAGGGCACTAGCTACATACACCAGGGCTGGCAGGTTTGAACATGGCCCAGGCCTGCTAAAAAATAACGAATGACAACTACAACAACAAAAAAATAGTCGGCTGTTGTGGTGGGTGCCTGTAGTCCCAGCTACTTGGGAGGCTGAGGCAAGAGAATTGCTTAAGCCCAAGATGTTGAGGTTGTTGTGAGCTGTGATGCCACAGCACTGTACCCAGGGCAAAGCTTGAGACTCTGTCTTAAAGAAAAAAAAATCAATAAATCTAATTTATCACACCAGCAGACTAATCAAGCAAGATCATGAGTATATCAATAGATTTTAAAAAGCATTTGATAAAACCCATTCCCACCAATATTGTCAAGATGTTAGTTTTTCTTAACTTGATCCATGAATTCTATGTAATCCCAACCAAAATTCTAGCAATTTATTTTAGGATATGACAAACTAATTCTAGAGTTAGCACGGAGAGGAAAAAGACTCAGAATCACCAACGTAATATTGTGGAAGAACAAAGATGGAGGCCTGATACTGCCTGACTTAAAGACATGCTGTAAAGCTGCAATAATCAAGACAATGTGATACTGACATAAGAATAGACAAATCTTGTCCAGAGCTTGCACCTCTGGATACCTCTGCACTCTGCTCCTGAAGTAGAGGAATTAATCCCATCTTTCCCAAGGATGATATCCCCAAAGTTCTATTTGGTAGTTTCAGACTCAATGAAGTCTAAAGTGTTTCTTTGTGGTAACTATCCCATAAACTTAAAAGAACACTCCACTTCCAAAGACCTCAATACACAAAGATGCAATGGGAATTTGGGACTCTAATAAAGAAAATAATGATGGAGAGGATATAGCAGGCACTATTCTAATGTAATTAACCACGGCCATGGTCAGGAATGAATTCCTTGCCCTGGCAGTGGACGAAGTGTATTTTTTAATTTTAAATTAATTTTTTTCTTTTTCTGAGACAGAGTCTCACATTGTCGCCCTTGGTAGAGTGCCATGGTGTCTCACAGCAACCTCAAACTGTTGGGCTCAAGTGATTCTCTTGTCTCAGCCTCTCTAGTAGGTGGGACTACAGGTGCCCGCCATAATGCCTGCTATTTTTAGAGACATGGTCTCACTCTTGCTCAGGCTGGTCTGGAACCTGTGATCATTAAAGAGTATACGTTCCTTGGGATCTTGAAAGCATTTATAGGAGTTAAAAATGCAAGTAAAAGGGATAAACTGCCCTACCTTGGAAATTCAAAGTTTAGGGGAGACATGAGCAAAAGGGAGGAGAGAATTTACCTAATAAAGCAGTGAAATGACTAAGAAGCTTTGCTATCAGGACAGTGTGGTTTTGTTTTGTTTTTCTGAGACAGAGTCTCACTCTGTCATGCTGGCTAGAGTGTTGTAGTTGTCAGCCTTGCTCACAACCACCTCAAACTCCTGGGATCAAACAATCTTTTTACCTCAGCCTCTGGAGTAGCTGGGACTACAGGCCCCCACCACAACATCTGGCTAAGGACGGTGTGATACTCATTTTGAGTTGTGACTTTTACCAATGCATTAGGAAAGTAAGTTACACAGCGAGGGACCAGTCGGGAGTGGCTGTTTGAAGAAAGCAAGGGAAAGGGTTGAGTACTCTTTCCTTTTTCTTTTCTCTTTTCAGCCTCCAGGTAGGCTCCTGATGCAGAAGTGAGGTGGTGCCCTGAGGGGAGTGATGGCCATACTAGGACGTGCAGGGCTATAGGAGAAGGCCCACCAGCTGTGCTTTGCCGTCCCCCGCCCCCATATCCCACATCTCTGGCTCCCCTCGCCCTGGCGGTGGAGTGATGTCTGCCAGCCTGCAAGCCTGGTCCAGGTGTGCAGGGAATAGGAATGTGTCTCATGGGGGAGAGCTTGCCTTGGTCAGGTTGGTGCCAGCTTGCTCGAGGTCCTCTGAACCCCAACTTCCTCTTTGTCTGGGCTGCTCTGCTAACCTGAATGGAGCTCTTTCACCAGGGATGACGTGGTGTTGATGATGGAGTCAGCAGCCACCAGCAGGTCATTGCGGAGGTTCCGCCTCCTGCACATGTCCGCTCAGCGTATCCTGGGTGTGGAGCCGGCCGACGCGGAGCACACCAGCATGGACATATGGCAGCCGCCTCCGTGAGTGGGAGATGTTCTCGGGGACCCCGGGGCCTGAGCCTTCAGCAGCTTCATCAGCCCTTTCAGCTGCACCACCAGCTCCCGCGGGCTCTCCTGCAGCGCCAACGTCCTCTGCTCCAGCCCATCCTTCCTTTGCCTCAGCAGCCACAGCTCTGCCAGCAGCGTGGGCTGAGTACTCTTGGGGGTTGATTTATTTGGAAAGAAAGTCATGAGGCAACAGAGAGAGTACTCTACTCGCATGGGAAACTCAAAAGCAGAAGTGTTCGTGAAAATGTAAGCCACATGGGAATTTGTGAATATTGTGGGCATGAGGGTGGGAGTCTGCTGGATGTTGCTGGTTTGTGTTATGACGCCTGGGGATAATTAGACATTAAAGGTTCCTCACTTGCCACCTAGGTAATACTATTGTTTATTGATTCATTAATTCCATAATATGTATTGAGTGCATATTACATAGCAGAAAGTATTTTACACATGAAGAGTGGGGAGTTATCAGTGTACAATGCAGACAAGATCCCTGCCCTCACACAACTTACATTCTCCTTATTTGAAAGAAATCACAAGTTCCCTACACAAGTGTTATACTATTTGATGCCAATAAGTTTGACAGTTTGAATGAAATGGCCAACGTCCTTGAAAATCACGCTTTACCAAAACTGACATGTATGAAAAAGAAAACCAAATAGTCTAATAACTGTTAAAGAAATTAAACCTGACAATAAAATCCTTCTCAGAAAGAAAATCTAAGACTCTATTGGTTTCCTTAGGGAATGAATTTTTCTAAATTTTTTATCTTTTAAAAAAGATAAAACACCAGAGAATAAAATCATGAGAATAACCTCTAGGACACCATTCTAAGTTTGAAGTAAAACCTAACAAGGACAGTAGAGAAAATAACAATAAAAAACCATCTTTACATAAACATAAAGAGCCATTCTAAGCAAATCTAGTAAGATAAATTGTAAAAGATTTCAAATACATCAGGGCTAGGTGTGGTTTATTCCAGGAATATAAGAGTCATTTAACATTTAAAACTTAATCAACATAATCTATGAGTTAACATAATATAAGACTCATATATAACATAAGAGTCATTTAACATTTAAAACTTAATTAACATAATCTATGTAAATGAAAGAATAAAAGTAGTATGACATCTTAATATTTGTGATAAAAATATATTTGATAAAATTGAAGAGCCATTCATGACTTTAATAAAAGAAAAAGAAAATTCTTAGCAAAGTAGAAATAGAGAAAAACTTGCAAAGTCTGATAAAAAAGATACTACTAAAAAATCTATAGCAGGTCGGGGGTGATGGCGCATGTCTATAATCCTCACCATTTTGGAGGCCAAAGAGGGAGTATCATTTGAGGCCAGGAATTAGAGGCTGCAGTGAGTTTGGATGATGCCACTGCACTCCAGCCTATATGATAGAACAAGACCCTATCTCAAAAGAAAATAAAAAAATCTACAGCACATGTTTTGCTTTATGGTGAAATAATAAACACTTCCTCTTAATATACCTCATCTCAGCGAAGCTTTATGAATTGCTACCACTCTTTCTTTTTTCTTGAGCCTTTTCCCACCTCACATACCCTATTGTACAGGCTGTCTAAAAGCCAAAAACTATGCTAATGGTAGCCTCATTGTCTAATTCTTTACCCCCCAAAATCAGGCCCACAAAATAATTTTTTCCTTAGTAAAAACACTCGAGCCATTCATATTTGAATGACACAGTGTAACTCAAGGTTAGATGAAGCCAGAACTGGGATCAAGGTAGGATGAGACAAAGCTCAGAAATGTCCCAGCCCCATTCTCACATTGTCTGTAACTCAGTCTCTGCAGGAGGTACAGCAGAATTGGTGGCTGTGTCCTCAGTCAGGGCTGAATCCTCGCTCAGAGCCTTCTCTAGACTGGTAGGCAGGGATTGAATCATTGTCTTTCGGAAGTCCCGGCCCATGAAGACATAGAGCATCGGGTTGAGGCAGCTGTTGAAGAAGGCCAGGGCACTGGTCGGGTAAACCAGCATGGTAAGGATTTTATATTTGCCATAAAGTAGTATCTTGTCAGACCAGATTGTGATTAGAAGGGTTATCAGATGAAAGGGAAACCAACAGATGAAGAAAGAAGCCACAACAGCAGTGAGGACCCGTAATGTATGACTGGATTTTATCATGCCTTTTTTGTGCATCTTGGCAGCAATGAGGCCATAGCAGATGGCAACAATGGACCCTGGCGTGATAAAGCCAACAACAAACCGGATGGTGCCTCCTACCATCCCCACAATAGTGGCCACCTCCAAAGCCTCTTCAGTGCTGTTACCCCAGTATTCAATGTAGGGAATACAGTATGTCTCCCTGTCCACAGTAGTGACTGTACCCTGTAAAATGCAAGTTGGCAAGGTAAGGATTATAGCAAGAATCCAGGGTCCAGTGATCACCTTCCTAGCCAAACTTAGTGTGCGGTGGTTCTGGGCCCAGACTGGATGCAGAACACAGATGCAACGGTCCAGAGCAATGAAAGCAATCAGGAAGACGCTTCCATACAGGTTGATGTCCCCCATGATGGTAACTAACTTACACAGGAACCAGCCAAAAGGCCATTTATCTTTCATGGCCCTGGAGACAATGAGGAATGGCACGATGGCACTGAAGGAGAAGTCAGCTACAGCCAAGTTCAGGTAAGAGATTGTGGTAACCGTGTGTGTCATTCGGAATCCAGCCACCCAGATCACAAGGCCATTGCCCAGGAGCCCAAACACAAAAGTGACCCCAAGTACCACCAATGAGAGGATGTGCAGAGCAGTGTAGCCGGCAGACTCATGGGATGCCTCTTCAGATCCATCCAGAGGGAGGGAGATGTTGGTTTCCATCGTGCCCACACCTCAAACATTTCAACAATGGCCATTTCTCATCTGTGGAACCATACTCCAGTGTTCCTGTTCATAGATGCCAGCAAATTCCACTAGAGCTCCACCTACTCCCAACGGGAGACCAATTCCACTGAGCCTTGTCAACTGTGGTACCATAAAACCAGCAATGTCCTGGAAACTCCTGTGGGAAAGGATAGTTCTCCACAGTCTCACCTATCAGGCTCATTACCAAGAGGATTACAAGGCTCCTAAACTGGTGTAACAACAACAGAAAGTTAAGCACAGGCAGCTTCTGCAGAGTAAGGAAAGCAGAAGAGTCGGGGTCAGTAGGGACAAATTTGTGTCCACCTATTACTCGATGCAAAAGTGCTGGCAAGCTATGTAACCTCTTTCAGCCCCAGATTTCTCTAGGGTCCTGGCTCTTGTCCTTTTCACTGTCAGAATCCTGGACCTACCGCGTGTCTACTATTTAAGTTAAAATGGTAGGGTTTAGTTTGAATGTATTATAGTCAAAGAGAACTTTGAAAAGTTATTGGCAATACACAGGTATTTAGAATAGTTACATTCCATGGATTCTAGAGGAAGAGGGCAAAGGAGCCCTATCTCTACATTCAACCCTCTGGTGGGCATTATCCCTGCTTGATATGGAGCTCATCTCTGTTTGGGATGCAAAAAAGTTGTACCCTATGTATAGCTTTAGTGTTTTGTAGGATAGAGTATGAGAACTGCAAGTCATGATAATATTTGTGGGATTCTTATCAGAGACCACATGTTGTGTTTGTTGCTATATGTGTAGGGGGACTGAGTTTGATCTACATTAATAGGACTATAAGGTTCATTATTTCTAGCTTTTGTAAGAAGAAATTGATATTCAGAGCAGTTGTGAAATCTGCTCAGGGTAACTAAAGTAGTAAATGGTATAAGAAGGTCTTCAATTCATCTCTTTAAGGCTCACTTTCCTCCTCTGCATAATGAAGACGACTTTTATGGTTAAGTCTAATGTTCAGGTGAGGATTAAGTGAGAGAAGACATGGTCATCTTTTAGGTTAGATTGAGTGAGTCTATAGCAAATAGGAACTCCTGGTCTTCACCAGGCTTTGTGCTGGGTTGTGGGGCTGGATCCTGGGTCGTACAAGGTAGAAGCTCAAGGTCAGGACAAGAACAGTGCTCAAAACAGTAGTGGGTACTACTTTTTAATATCATCCACACGCCAAGAGTTTCTCCTTTAATATCCTAATTATTAACTCTCATAATAACTCATAGCATAGGCTCTGCAGAAAGCACGTTTATGCATGGAGACCAGGGAGCACACTGGGAGACATTGTAGACAGTGACAAATGTTAGTGAGTAGGCCCATAGCACAGATGAGTAAGTTAAGACTTAGATTGGTTACATTAACTGTTTTAAAGCCACCAATTAGAAAGAAGTGCAGCCAGAATTTGTGCTCAGCCAGACTGATTCCAACAGAATTGTGCTGTTAACCCTCTCCCATTCTGTATTTCCTCAACCAGACTCTGAACTCCTCTCCCTGCCCTCTACACATTCTACAAGGCACCTGGAAGATATCGGTGTGTTCAGTTATCTCTAAATCACTGGTCTTAAAATCTTGATACAACATTGGGAGGAGGAGTGCACAATGGCAGGTGGGAACAGGCAAGGGGAAATTGCAAAATTATGGGCCCACCCTAGTTGGAAAGGGTGGTGAGAACCTGGGAGTCACAGAGGGTGCAGGTGGAGATGAGAAGGGCTGCTGTTTGGTGAGTCTCTAATATGTGTCCATCACTATACATTTTGCCATCTTTAATTACCATATTCTTGTTTGGGACAAATGTCATCATTATTTTAATACAAGGGGAAATCACTGCTCAGAGGAGGGAAGTGACTTGCTCAACATCCCAATTATTAAGCTATGCAAATGATTTATGACCACAAATGTCCAACTCAACACTTCCTTGTTAGCTTCCTCTATCACGCAAGCACATTTGATTTCCCACGCTGTAAAATAAGTATCTTAGTCCTGTTTTCTCCACATGACTTAATTTCTCTACTAGTCTCACTTTTAGCCCATACCCTTGACTGCTATTTTAAAGAGGAAATGGCAACAGTTAGATATGAAATGGTTAGCCTTTCCTTCCCTGACCCTCTAATCCACTGGCACCTGTTCCTGTGAATAGAGTTCTTGTTTATTCCAGTGATTACCTTCCCCACGTTTTCCTTTTATCCCCTCTCTTTGCCTTCCCCACAAACTTTCCTCTTGCATTATTTCTTTTCTGACACAAACTAAAAAAAAATCCTCAAGATTTTCTTTCAACTGGATCATTCCCACTGTCAGATAAACAGTACCATAACCCCTCTTTAAAAAAAAAAGAAGTAACTGCCGTCAGCCTATGTTCCTTTGCACCCTTTGCCCTGTTTCTCAGAAGAGAATTCTTTCTGTGAAGAGATTAACAGCCACACTGTAGGAGCCATTGCCTCTAACTGCTCCTTTCACCTTCTCACCTCACGTTTATTCCTGAATCCACTCAGTACTGACTTCAGTCCTCAGCCTCCACCTGATGTGTCCTCCTTCAGGATGCTTGTGACCTGCATGCTGTGGGCCCTTTTCAGTCCTAACTCTAATATTCCAGTGACATGAGGCCCACTGGATCTCATTCTTCTTCTTCTTTTTTTATATTATTTATATTTTTATTTTTTTGAGACAGAGCCTCAAGCTGTCCCCCTGGGTAGAGTGCCGTAGCATCACAACTCATAGCAACCTCCAACTCCTGGGCTCAAGTGAGTCTCCTGCCTCGGCCTCCCAAGCAGCTGGAACCACAGGTGCTCGCCACAACGCCTGGCTATTTTTTGGTTGCATTCTTGAGCCTCATTCTTCTTCAAATGCATTTTTCCTATGCCACATGATGATGAAATGTACACATAACATGCTCTCAGCTGTCTTTATAGCTCAACTGGCTGCCTCCTTTCAGTCTGATTTACTTGCATTTTTGGCTCTAAATTTCCACAGCTTGTATTTGTCTCTTATCTGTATCCTCTGGATCTAGTCTTTCCATAGGTGACATCACTCAGGCTCATGGCTTAAAATACCATACTGTCAGCTCAGCGCCTGTGGCTTAAGTGGCTAAGGTGCCAGCCACATACACCTAAGGTGGTGGTTTCGAATCCAGCCTAGGCCCGCCAAATAACAATGACGTCTGCAACCAATAGCCAGGCATTGTGGCAGGTGCCTGTGGTCCCAGCTACTTGGGAGGCTGAGGCAGGAGACTCGCTTGAGCCCAAGAGACGGAGGTTGCTGTGAGCTGTGATGCCACAGCACTCTACCCAGGGGGATAGCTTGAGGCTCTATCTCAAAATATATATATATATCCATATATATCTATATATATCTATATATAGATCTATATATATCTCATACTGTCCTCTCATGGACACCATCAGCCTCTTCCCAGAGCTCTAGTTGAATACTGGGCTACACCCTACTTCTGGACATCTCCTGGTGAGAGTTCCATTGTCACCCCAAGCGTGACACTGCCCAACCAAACTTTTCATTATCCCTTCCTCCCTAACCTTACTCTCCCCAAATTCTGTATCAATCTGAAGCTTAAACATTCTGGGTTTTTGTTTGTTTGTTTGTTTTTTTGACAGAGTCTCACTCTGTTGCCCTGGATAGCATGCTTGGCATCATCATAGCTCACAGCAACCACAAACTCTTGGACACAAGTGATCCTCTTGCCTCAGCTTTCCCAGTAGCTGGGACTACAGGTACCCAACAGGATGCCCAGCTAGTTTCTCTATTCTTAGTAGAGATGGGGTCCTGCTCATCTTCAGGCTAGTCTCGAACTCCTCAGCTCAAGCAACCCACCAGCCTTGGCCTCTTGGAGTGCTGGGATTCTAGGCATGAGCCACCATGATCTGTCATTAAACATTCTGTTGATAAAAGGTCCAAATTTAGAACTTATCTCTGATATCCCTTTTCCTTATCAGCCAATCCAACCCAAGTCCTATTGGGTCTATCCACAGAACATGCTGAGTCCACAGCCAGACTCACCTCCATCATCACTACTCTTCCCTGTGGCTCTTATCAGGTTCAGATATTTGCACTATCCTTGCTTGTTTCTGACCTGGTTGTTCCCTCCCCTAAAGTCCATTTTCCAGACAGAAACAAATGATCTTTGAAAAGGGCAAATAAGATCATTACATTATTCTCTTCAACACCTGCCAGTGGCTTACAAACATGTAATTCAAGCTCCCTACGCACACCTGGGTCTGCCCTCATAGTCCCTCACACCTCTCATGTGTGACACACCATTCCATTGGCACTGGGTTCCTGGATTCGCTGAACATTCCAGCTCATCCTCACCTCAGGGTTTTTGCTTTCCTTGTTCCTTCTGGCTACAACTTTCCTCTTGAGCTTTTCCACACAGGGCTCATTCTAAACATTGATAGTTTAGCTGGAATATCATGACCTCAGAGAGCTCCTGCCTGACCCACTGGCAAAAACAGCTGCACCAGGCTCAGTCTATCTTCCCCAGATACTTTTACTGCTCACTTATTCATTTATTTTCTATCCTAAATATCCTCCACTCTACTATATAAGCTCTTTAAGACTGCCATGTTCATTCAGTGCTATATCTCCAGGGTAACACTGTCCAATATTCACATAATATGAGCCATAAACTTAAGCCATATATGTGACTAATGATTTTCAAGTAGCCATGTTAAAAATAAAAAAGTAAAACCACTGGGGAAAATTAATTCTAATGATATCTTTTCTGTAACACCATGTCTCAAAAAGACTCTCATTGGGACATGTAACCAAAATAAAAGTTATTAATGAGACAATTCAGCATTTTTTTTCTTTTTCTTTCTTTCTTTCTTTTTGTTTTTTAAATAAAACACAGTCACTTTGTCACCGTTGGTAGAGTGCCATAGCGTCACAGCTCACAGCAACCTCCAACTCTTGGGCTTAAGTGATTCTCTTGCCTCAGCCTCCCAAGTGGCTG